TCATTCAGACACTATTATAGTTTTTGCTGATATTTTGAATTCGATATATTTTTATATTTTCGGTTTTCATTTTAATTTTAGGTAAAGTTTTAGTAAATTTAGTAAAAAAATATGTCTATACATTTATTTATTTTTAATTATTTTAGTACAAGTTGTACTTTATTTGTTAAAAAATATTGTATTTAGGGTAGCAAAATGTTTTTTTTTTAATGGTTTTAATTTGAGTTATTTTAGTATATCGAGTTAAACTAAATGGAGATGAAAAATGAATTAGCTGAAATACAATAGTTTTTAGTTTTTAAAAAGAATTTATTTCAGTTAAAGTCAATTTTTTTTTCAAGTAACAGTTTTTATGGTTTTAGTTTTAATTATTTTAGAACATCAAGTTAAACTAAATGATAATGAGAAATGTCTCGGCGACTATCTGAAATAAAATAAGTTTAATTAATAATTTATGTTTTATTTTATTTCAGTTCAATTTTATTTTATGATTAGTTTTAGTTATTTTAGCATATAAAGTTAAACTAAATGGAAATGAAAAATGTTGTCTTGTCGTCTAGCTGAATTTTTTATATTTAATTGAAGTTTTTTGTATTTAATTTTATTTCAGTTAAAGCTTATTTTATTTCTAAAGGTTTTTAATCGCTTATACGTCAAGTTTATCTAAATAAAAAGGATACATTTCGCCTTCGCAACTATTTGAAATAATTCTTTTTTTTTTTATATTTTATTTTATTTCAGCTACATTTTATTTAATTTCAAGTAACAAAAGTTTTTTATGGTTTTAGTTTTCATTATTTTAGTACATCAAGTTAACCTACATGCAAATTAAATGGCAACTAGCTGAAAAAAATATATTTTTAAATATATATATTTTATTTCATATCGAGTGTGTGTGAGTGAGTGTGAGTGCGTGTGTGCATGCGTGCGTGTTTGTGTGTGTGCGCGTGTTTGTGCATGCGTGTGTGTGTGTGTTTGTGAGAGTTAAAGTTTCTTTTTTATAGTTTTTTTTTTAAGTTTGTTAACTATTTTGAGTGTTTACTATTGTGCTTTTGCATTATTGACACAATTTTTCTATTTTGATACTATAAAGCTGCTTTGACACAATCTGTATTGTTAAAAGCGCTATATAAAATAAAGGTGACTTGACTTGACTTGACTATAATAACCCTGCTGAAATTGGCAGTTTCAGTCGGTCTCACATTGAGTTGTTCTGTGGGAAAAGCGCCGATCCCGACTCTAGTGGTATAAGCCTTTGACACTCCGTACACTTCGCCGATGTTCGCCGGCGGGATGCCGAGGCCTGTGCACACGCCGCCCACCGTGCAGTTGGACGACGTCACAAACGGGTACGTTCCTACAGAGAAGACAAACCAGTGTTTGAGCCTGACATCTCCCACACACACTCACACACACGCACTCACTCACACACACTCACTCACTCACACACACACACACACACACTCACTCACTCACACACACACACACACACACACACACACACACACACACACACACACACACGTCCTCACCAAAGTCGATGTCCAGCAGTGCCGCGTTTGCTCCCTCCGCCAGGATTTTCTTCGGCGACCCGTGAATTGCATCATACATGAAATAGACGCCGTCTCTGACCAGAGGCCTGATCCTCTCGGCGTAGTCCTGTGAAGGAGCGCGGGTCAGAGACAGCAGCGTAACACAGCGCATGCATCTGCTGTTCAACTGACCTTCAGCTTCTTCAGCTCGCTCTCCACCTCCACTTTCAGAGCGGGGAACATGGACTGGTACTGCAGCACCAGGTTCTTCACCCTTCAGCAGAGAGTTATCAACACTTCAGCTCAGCACCGCACTGATATGAGCAGCAGTGTAAGATTTACACAGGATTTACCTGCTAGAAAACTCGCTGAAGTCAGCCATCAGGTCACAGATGCGGAGCCCAGTGCGAGACGCTTTACAGGCGTACGTGGGTCCGATGCCTTTCTTAGTTGTTCCTATGCTGTGAACCAACACAAATACATTCAATATTAATCATAAAAAACTATAAAACTACTAAAATAAATAATGCAACAGAAAGTCATTAAACTCAGGAGGCCAAACTATATTATTGCATCTATTGCATCTGTTTTTATGTTTTCTGTTTGTTTTTCTTTAATTCTAAGAAAAATGCATTATTAAAAAAAATATTATTATTATTATATGAAGTTTGCAATATTTGCAACTAAAATTTGCAACCAGTTACCAAACCGCAGGACTGAATACAGTGTAAAACCTTAATCTGTGTGATTTTTGTTATCTTCTATTCTATTTGTGTGATTAAAATCTCATATAAGAATAAGAATTGCATTAATAATGCACATTTATTATACTCAAGGAACTTCAAACATATCAAATATAACGCATAAATACATAAAAATAAATAAATAAGAAAACTAGTTTAATCACCAAACATTTTAACTACTAAAAAAATAATGCAACAGTAATTTGAGTATCAGAGTTCAGATAT